TACAAAGGCCGATGCACTGAACTCCTCCCTAAAAGGTACGACACCAGCGGGAGGGATACTTCGCTCTGCAGTGGACCACAGCAAATGCAGGGATTGCTGTCAACAGATTTCAGCTGAAGTGAAAGAGCATCGATGTTTTAGGATTTCCCTCTCTCCAAAGCATTCCTTTGGAAAGAGGGAGTTCTGGCTGCTTTTAGGTTGTACCTCTCTGTGCTTTATGTAGCTTTAGACTTTATACAGTTTCTGTCTTATAATTGGTGAAAATTTGTTGGATGGGCAGGGCAAATGAGGAAGAAAGGTTGGACACCCGGTTGTTAGCCTCTGAATGTGTATTAAACTGGGAGGGAACATGACAGAGCTGTTGGTGTAAAGAAAAGACTATAAGAAAATGAAATGTTTCTTCCATACCTCATGGATACCAACAAAGATCAGTTCAGCCCATTGAGTTTTCCTTGGGAATCATAAAAAAGACTCTTTCAGAAAAGATACTTCCCACGTAAGAGTTAATTTTACAATTTAAATGGATGAATTTTTCCTTCCCATACTCTGCCAAGGTTTTATATTTATCCCAGCCTCTTCCACTTTGAGACTGGCTGATCCTTATACAATATGTATATTCTCAAGCCGAAAATGTTCTCTCTTGGCTTCCTCCGAAGGGTACGCTGGATTCATCCCCCGCCTCACCTGGGTTAATGGCGTGAACTACATCCAGGGTGTGAAGGAAGCAATGAAGGAATTTGACCGACATCAGGTAGATTATACGCACAAATCTTATTTCAACAGTATAATGTTGGTGTTGATTCATCTGCAACACCGAAAGTGGTTTCATTTATAGTAGTAGTATTAGAACTGGGGTTATAAGTACAAGCAAAATAAAATGCCATTAGGTAATGTTGAAAAAATCATGAGCAATTAAATTCTGTAACTTGTTTCCTTGGGACATTAAGGGAGGATAAATGAGTTCATAAAAGGATTAAGCAAATCTATTGAGGGTTAGGTCAAGGATGGCTATTAAAAATGCTGCTCTGAGTGCAGAAACACAGGATGCAACTATCTCTCTGCGCTTCCCTTACGCAATATATCTTCTCTACCTGGATGGCAGTGCTGGATGGCTTCCTGGGCTGCTTGGATGGATATTTCTTCCTCTTAATTGGTTGTAAGGCTTTTTCCTTTACTAACATAATTTGTCTTAAAGGGATCTAGATCTTCTTTCTCCTCCTTTTGGGAAGGATGCAGAAATATCCCTACTGAAAAACCGTTTTGTCCCCTTGCTGTAAGATCTCCCATATAATGCCATATAATCCTCCTGTACGGGAAAATGAGATCCCTCCCACAGCAGTTAATAGTTTGCATTCAAAACTACACGTTTCTTCCTGCTACCAGGACGGAGCGAGATCCCTGGGATGCAGCCTTCTTGCTGGTCCAGCGCCGGTGAGGGCTGATCAGCTCAGTGACACAGCTCCTTAAAAGCAGGTTACAGCATTTCCAGCCTTTTCTGGTCACCGGGATTCACTGCAGTGCCTTCGACCCAGGGCGTATGGGTCTGATGTAGAAAAAAGTCCAAGACTGAGGATCCCCAGCTCAGAGAAACGCTGCTGGGAAGAAATGACTCAGCGGGGAGAGCAGCAGGGCTGACAGTGCTCACGGCAGCCTCATGCTTTGGCTGAAATGTATTTCTGCACGCCGGCTTCCTTATCCTTTCCTTCTGCCGTTAATAGGCATTGAAATGAAGCAAACAGAACAAACCCCAGGCATTACAAAAACTAAACATGCTGTTTGCAAAGCTTTTCTGCCCCTGGTTTCTTAAGAAATGTCTGCCATGTAGTAAATCAGCGAGGGGGGTGTTTCCCCATTGCAGGATTCAGCAGAATCCAGGCTCGCAGAGGTTAGCTGCAGCACATCAGGCACTGAAAGAATACAAGCACACTGGAAAAAAAAAAAATAAAATCATACCACATTTCTATCTAAGATGGCTTCTGACTTCAAGCCCCTAATCTTCTGCCCTAAATCTCTGTTGCCCTAGGTTACATACTGGGATGTGCCATGGATCATTGCTTACTGTCCGCATCAGGCAAAATAATGCAATCCTCTCGCTTCAGTGCTGCACTTGAGGAATTGCAGCAATCGCTCCATCATCAGTCACAAAATGGTTCCACGGCCCCACGGTTTGCTCGGCTCAGTGAACCAGGTCCCTTCACCACCGAGCAGGGTGCACGCTGAGGAGGGCGGCACAGCTTTAATGACACCTTTAGGGGTTTTGCCGCTGCAGAGATGTGCAGAGCTGCAATGTCCATCCTCCAGCACAGCCCCTTATCTGGGTCTGACCTCGGAGGGCAGGGACAAATCCAGGAGATGATTTACATTCTCCCCTCAGTTAACACTCCCTAAGCCTTCCTGTTCCTCCTAGCTTGGGAATTACTGGCTAATCACAGTCGGTGGGACTCATGGAAAAACAAAACCAGTTGAAGGGGTCAAACCAAAACACAGATGAGCAGAGTCATAGCACAGGAGCAGACGAGGCACGTACACACCCAGCTCCAGCAGATACTGGAGCGTGAGCACAAGGTGTTTGGGACTTGCGGGTGATGCCCAAAGGTGATGAATGCAGTCCAGGCTGTGGAGATCGGATGACTACGCCTAGGCCAGGAGCTGCTCTGTGCACCCGGGGGTCTGAGCTAGCAGAGGCAGCGCTGTCGAGGGCTGCTGCCAACGCCTGCCAGGAGAAAAACTTAGGAAGTGGAAAAAGGGGAAGATGTACATTGCTGTGCATTGGCTTAAATATTTTCTCTAATATGGAGTCAAAGCACACAACTTGGGTACCAACAATATGGTTTAAAATGAACTGTACTGTGTTGTTGGGGTGTTTTTTCGTTTGTTTTCCAGTTTTTGCAGAGAAACCCGGCTTGCAGCTTTGGCAAGAGATTTCCCCAAACATACTGGCCTAACAACAGAATTTACACCAGTGCTGGACTGATACCTTCCTACATGGGCTTCGTACCAGGTAAGTTTATCAGCTGAGTGAAAATGAAAAAGTCATTAATACTAATTACTGTCATTAAGTAGCACTGTTATTAGCTGTAGTGTCGTAGTAGTGAACAATATTGAGATGTTCCACACAGGCAGTAGGTTTTTTCTCCCAGTCTGTGCCAAGGTGCTGGAGCTGTGCCATCCCCTGCCGTTCTGCAGGAGAGCCCATCATCCTCGCTGCCAGCCTGGACTTGGGCAGAACGTTCCTCCGGTTTCCAGCCACCAACCCCCTGCTGCAGCAGAGGAGGCTCAGTAACACCCCACCTGTTACACGGGTGTGCTACAACTTCTTCGTCAGGAACGTGATTCTGTTCTAAAAAGCTTAAAGTCTGATAAAAAGCAAAAGGTAGATGATACAAAGGGGTTGAGAACGCAGAAAAAAAGCAGTGAAATGGTATTAGCCATCAAGACAGGTGGTGGCTACCCCGTACTGCCTGCCTGATCCTTGTCAGTTATTGGTGTTGCCTAAAAGGAGAGGGCTGAAGAAAGTACTTTTGTGTATGTTAAGGGGCAGGTCTGCCCATGCACCTGAAAGCATTAAGGTAGCAGGCTAAAATTTCAACAGATCAGCAACTAATATTGCTATCTTCGGCCACAGCAAAGTCAAGAGCCCACAGCTCAGTAATGTGGGATGGGAAAGCACGGAGACAAGCCAGAAAGAACCGAACTCATAGCTTGTACTTAATGCAGTGCAGAGGAGGAAAATGGTAGAAGACACAAAATGTGGTAGAAATGAAAGCAACAGTGGGAAAACAACTATCCTGACAGGGTTGGACTGTAGCTGATATCAAGGTTGAGCCCAGAGAGGAGGATGTTGAGGCAGTGAATGTGGCTGTGGCAAGACTTGTATCAGGGGCACGGGAAAGCCACGCGGAAAAAGCGAAGTTTAACACACGGCCAGTCACCAGGAGCTTGAGGGACGCTCTAAGGGAAAGGATGGAAGCATCTTACCCCCTGATGGAGAAGGGTGAGGCTGGACAGGCCTTCTGATCAAGGATGAAGAGAAGTATGTCCGTTTTGGCCTCTGCCGCTGCACTCCTGCTCCGGGGCAGATGGCAAGCGCAGCAGTTGCCGTCCGCGGTGCATCAACACTCACCCGTCCCCTTCCGTGGGGCAGCGGCTCTGGGGTGTCGCAGGGCAAAGCCCTGACTGTTCCGGGTGCCTGTTTCCTCTGTGCTGGATTGCCCGGGGAGGGCTGTGGTCACACTCCACGGAGCTGTAGCCTGCGAGCTAAAGCCCCCCTGGAGAAAAGCTGTTATGAGCCTAAGGGTAAGCTGGACTCCGGTGTTAATACTTACCCGTGCGTTTTGTCCTCTCTCCACCGGCCTGCGGAAAGCAGGGGGAGAGCAGCCGGAGCTCTTCAGGGGAGGGCGACTAATGTAGCTCTGCCCAAAAGGGTGCTGGGGGGACAACGCTGTCCTGCCCTCGGTAACCGGCAGGCCAGGGAACACACCAGCTTCAGCGTAATGAAAAGGAGGAAGAAAAAAACCCACCCAAAAATCAACCGCTTGAAGCGTTACTCCATGCTTTAAAAATCCGTTGCCATCTTTTCACCTACAGAAGTGTTCTCCCGTGTCAGTTTGAAACCAGCCACCTGTTTCCGCAGACAGACTGATTTCCACCGCCCCAAGAGCCACCACAGTCACTGCCATTTTAACCCCTCCAAGCAGTTCAACCCCGGGAGGAGAGTTAACTTAAAACTTAACGCAAAATCAGTTACCATTAAGAACGCTGAACAGATGTCCTGTCCAGCTTTTCAGGGTGACACGTTTTTTCCTTTTGGTAACACTGAACGTTATTAGGTGTTTCCACAGTAAAAATCTGCTTTGCTAATAGAGGGTTTTCACGAGACAAAACAGTGTAATTTGGTATCCGGTGCTCAGCAGCTCGCTTCAAAAGCGGAGGCTGCAGCAACACCCGATTGATTTGGTTTTAAAACCTCTACATACTGATTTTAAAAAAAGTGACTCCAGCAAGGCTGCACACAGGGGAGCTCCGCAGTGTCATTTGTCCTCAGCAGCAGGCGCCACACAGCTTGTCACAGCTGTCCCCAACGCTCTCGTGACAGGCCACGGCTACCTGCCGAGTCGCTGCAGTGGATCGGCCAGGGCGAGGCCCGGCTCTTCCAGGAACCCCCACCTGCACCCATCAGAGGCAGCTTGCCTGCCCCATTTTCTTGTCCAGGCAGCCGGGGCAAGCGGTAGCTTACAGACACCTACGTTTGAACCTACGCTTCCGCTACGGCCAGGAGAGCTGCTCCGCTCCCGCCAAGAGCAAAGCCTGTAACAGGAGTCCACATGCAGGTGCCTAAATTTAGACGCAGCTTGGAGCTGAATTCCGTCCTCCGTGTGAAGTGTATCCCCCTCCGCCAGTACGCTTGATTATAAAGGAATACCAGAGAATTTCTTCAACCCCCACACCACCAGGAGCAAGTAGGGCTGCCCCCACATCCAGCGGGGCAAGCAACAGGCCATCACCTTGTTGGAAGGCAGGGAGGGAAGCGTGGTTGCCGCAGGGAAGGTGGCAGGGCTCATGCCAAGTCCATTATTTTTCTTTTCCAGACCTCCGACACACCTACGCGCTTACTTTTGGAAACGGCACCCGAAAAGCTTACCAAAAGGAACAAAGGAGACGAGCTTGTGCACTGTGAAAAATGCTTTAATGGTGCCTGTACAGCATTTGAAGTGACTTTGAGACAGGAAGAGGAACACAACACAGACAGAGACATTTTGAATGAAAGAGTTCATACAGCTTTAAACAAAATTTACAGGTGTTCATCTGCATAGCTTTTACTCTGCCTCTTCCTCAGCCTCCTCCTCAAACTCCCCCTCCTCCTCAGCTGTAGCATCCTGGTACTGCTGATACTCAGACACCAGGTCGTTCATGTTGCTCTCAGCCTCTGTGAACTCCATCTCGTCCATGCCCTCGCCAGTGTACCAGTGCAGGAAAGCCTTTCGGCGGAACATGGCAGTGAACTGCTCAGAAATGCGTTTGAACAGCTCCTGGATGGCTGTGCTGTTACCAATGAAGGTGGCAGACATTTTCAGGCCACGAGGTGGAATGTCACAGACCGCCGTCTTAACGTTATTAGGAATCCATTCAACAAAATAGCTGCTATTTTTGTTCTGAACGTTCAGCATTTGCTCATCAACCTCTTTCATTGACATACGGCCTCTAAAAACAGCAGCTACGGTCAGATAGCGCCCGTGACGTGGGTCACACGCAGCCATCATATTCTTTGCATCAAACATCTGCTGCGTTAGCTCTGGCACAGTTAAAGCACGATACTGCTGGCTCCCACGGCTCGTGAGCGGGGCAAACCCAGGCATGAAAAAGTGCAAACGGGGGAAGGGAACCATGTTCACTGCCAGCTTCCGCAGGTCAGCATTAAGCTGGCCTGGGAATCGCAGGCAGGTGGTAACACCGCTCATGGTTGCCGACACTAAATGGTTCAGATCACCGTATGTTGGAGTAGTTAACTTCAGTGTTCTGAAGCATATGTCGTAGAGGGCTTCGTTATCAATACAGTATGTTTCATCTGTGTTCTCCACAAGCTGGTGCACCGAGAGTGTGGCATTGTAGGGCTCTACTACAGTATCTGATACTTTAGGGGAGGGTACAACACTGAAAGTATTCATAATTCGGTCTGGGTACTCTTCACGAATTTTGCTGATGAGGAGGGTACCCATGCCAGAGCCTGTACCGCCACCGAGAGAGTGAGTAAGCTGAAAGCCCTGGAGACAATCACAGCTTTCTGCCTCCTTTCTTACAACATCTAACACAGAATCAACTAATTCAGCACCTTCCGTATAATGGCCCTTTGCCCAGTTGTTTCCTGCTCCGCTCTGACCTGGAAGAGAGCCATTTTCGTATTAGATTACGGTCACTGCTTACTGCTTGCAAGCAAAGCTTAGGAGCATCAACCTACAGAGAAACCCCAACAAAAGCCTTCGTTTTATCGAGCGTAGAGCTGTCGTTTCACACAAGCACCTCTGAACTGGCTTGGCAGATGCACAGAAAACATTCCCTATCAATGGTACGGCAGCCATTTAATTTCTCCTGATGGTATGGAGGAGGTAACGAGACTCGGAAAAGCAACGACCTCTTGAGCCTTCTCAGACCCGCTCTCCCAGCAGCTGCCATCATGCAGATCCCCGGTATTTCACGCCCGTCATGAAGCGCCAGGATTAACCCCCCTCCCGGGGCCACGCTCGCCTCAGGAGCATGTGCGGCGGTGAAGCCCGCAGTGCAGCGCCCCTGCCCTGCCCACCCCACCCC